GCGGTAGAGAAGGAAGATACCTAAACTGTGCGTAACCACCCCCTTCTCTATTCCACCATTCTCAGCCCATCGAGGTTCCAATTTCCATCTCTCAATAGCATAAAAGGCCCCTCGTACTTTAAATGCGCCAACACGGTGGAGGGCAAGATAAGATGTCCGCCATGGTGTTGGGCGAAGTTCTTATGTAAAATTTGAACCGATGGTAAAGACTGAGGGGAAGTGAGAAAGGCTTACAGCCAGGCACAGGACGTAAGATATAGATACAATATATCCTTGATTGAGCTCCGCTTAGTCATAGTCATTTCTTCCAACCCCATGCCAAAGACATGGATAAGAATCCCTCCCAGTAATCCGAGGTCATACGCCATGATGAAAAAAGAAGGTAGATGGATAAGGATGTGATACGTGTTATTACTTCCCCGCAATAGCCTTATACTATAAACACTCAGATTCAGGCACATAGAGGCCCTATCCCATCTCATGCATCGACCCACGATGGTGATCTGTCCTCCCCCGTCAAGCTCACAGCTCCATACAGTCTCCGGACTGGGTGCCTCATAAAGAGGCGGCTTTGAAGGTGTGGGTTGAGGGGTTGAAACGCTTGATTGAATCGGAACCGCATCGAACTGAGGTCCGATGGGAGAGCCCGTGTTCGGGCTATGAGCGGCCCGGGCCGGAGACCCCACAACCTCGGCCGTGTCAGGCATATTTGATAGAAATTGAGGCTGAGGTGCTGAGCCAGAATTTGAACCAAATAGAGTGTCCTTATTGCCTCTACGGCGGCGCAAAAGCACGAGCCCAAAGATACCCATGACGATGACGGCCAGGCCGCCCACTACACCACCAACAATTGCGCCGACGTTATGATTTGGACCAGGGCTGGGAGTCGCAGAAGTGGACGGTTCAGTCAGGGAGCTTGAATTTTCTGTTTCAGAAGCAGTTATTGTAGTTGATCCGCTCTCGGTTGTGCTTGGTTCCAACCCCAATGTCGTTAATCCACCCGTAATCTCGTGTCCGTCAACTAGTACCAGGGTGCTCAGTTCTCGAGGTTGCAAAGGTGTACTATCGAAGCGTACAATAAAGTCCAATGTACTACACCAATAGGAGAAAATCCCGTCACCAAGTTCTAGTGTAGCGCAGACGGGCGCCGCAGTCGAAGCGCTACGAACGTGACTGAGTCAGGATAAAGTAACTGCAGAAGGAAATAACAGAAACTTTATCTTACCATACAGCAATGTGACTGTTTGCACTACATTCGTTGTTGCACTTGGCTGGGTCGAGGTAGACGGTGCGGTCAAGACAAGTGGTGGCGACAGCGTGTGATTCGCACCATACACGGTTGATTTTGCCCGATTCCCACACGCAACGTAGCCCCTCATCACATGTCCATCGATCTCTGTTCGCGTTAAACCCACAGGTTGAATCTGGAGCAACAGTCACAGTGATTGTACCAGAAATCAGCTCTTCAACATCGGCTCGTCGCGCCAGCCTCTGTGGCTGAGGCATCGGATCAGGTTTGTGCAAATCAGTGATCATGGGTACGTGTGTTGCTTATACCTTTAATGACCTCTGCTTGATATGTATTAATAGGTGCGAGGGCGGAAGGAAGAGAAAGGAGGAAACTCCAGCCTAATAAGTATTACTTACTATGGTAATTCCAACGCGGCCAGAGAGGTTCTAGAATTTCAATCGCTTATATTAGCTAAAAGCCTCCATTTGCTGTCGATTCTGTTTCTCCGTGCCGCACGATTTGATAGGCTACTTATTATAATGGTTGTTCAGCTTGATGCCACATTTCTGCATAAGGTTGAACTCAGGCCTGAGTCAAACTTAGGAAAGTCTCATTTTCAATATCCGCGGAATTATCCATTTTGTGGCGTAATGAATGAACTCGTGCTCTTATTAATAGCTAATAGCTAGTTCAAGAGAGTTCCGTTTATAATGGGTTTTTGACCAAACACTATGCCGTGATAGTGCACTAATACTCTCCGACGCCTTATGATAGTTTCTGCATCTTTACGATCCCAATTTTCCAGTCAATTCGGCGTGCATATCTAACTTATCGTGCCGGCAAGGGATCTTGCCCAAGAGTATGATGAGTTGCAATGTGATCGACAACGCACGGATGATCGACATCGGTGAACGTAGCCCAATACTTCTGAGAAATTATATCCCGTACTGGCCATCCAAGCCATCCAAGGCGCACACGACATAATCCGATGGGGGCAGAACCAGGCCGACGCCATGTAAGCAATATAGCAGCTGAATCTGATCACATGCATTATGCCCAACGCCATTCGAACGGCTGTTGGACGATGGGCACCGGTGGCGCGACCCAGACAACGCCAGTCAGCGAATATGGCGTTCCAGGCTTAGCAGTGCTCGTGGAACACACCGCTTCCTCCCTTAAGTTAATTTTTCTTATCTTTGCTTACTAGAGCTATAATAGGAATTACAATTAGCTAATTTGTGCCCTTTATCTTATTCCTGTATTCTATTTATAGTTTACCCAATTAATATCTTGAGAGTTTATAATTTATAAGGATATTTATTTTTTATTTAATTAAGATTTTATAAATATTTATATAGCTAACTAAAGACAACTTATAATAAATAAAGCCTAGTAGATAAGTTATTATATTATATATAATATATAAAACTATAAACTTTTACATTATATACTTATAAATTAAAGCTAATTAATATTAAGAATATATAATTAAAACAAACTTAATAAGATTAATATTAATCTTATAATACTATACTTAATATATAATACTTACCTATTAAGATATATAATATTTTAAACTACTTAGTATTATACCTTATATTATTTACTAATATAAACCTAATATAAATTAGTTTAGTTTTAAAAGAAACTTAATTATTATAAAGTAATATATATAAACTTAATATTTAAATAATATAATATATTTAATAAGTATACTAATTAAATATATATACTAATTAAAAAATTCTTATTTTATATTATTACTCTTTAATTAAATACTTCTTAACTATTAAATATATTATAACCTTAAAATAAGGCTAAAAATCCATCTATTTTTTTAGCTTTTTAAAATAACTTATAATTAAGTTTTTAATATCTTATAAGTATATATAAAGTTAAATATAATACCCTTTATAATTAAAATAATTTATTTTTAACTTAGATTTATAAGGATTTTCCTTATAATTATATTTTATAAAAAGAATAATTAATTTTCTATTTATAAAGTATAATCCCCAGTTTAGACTACTGCTTTTTTACTAATTTTACTTTATCTATTCTCATATGCAAGGTCGATTGGTCACGTGCCCTACCACGTGCATTTAATTAATTAAGTCATGACTTCAGGTTAATTTGACTTTCGCTAACTAACTTATATAAAACTTAACATAATTCCTTTAATTCTGACTTTGACAGAATTTCTAAACCCCGCCTTTACCCCGCATTTATCCTAGAACTCTTTTATATATAATAGAGAGGATATAAAATACCTATTCTGCCTCTATAATTATATTAATAAGTTACTTTTTATATTAAGTTAAGTTTAGGCCTATAAAGGCAGTAAGGAAAGCTACCTCTTTTATTATTAGAGATTAATTATATCTTAAGGCTTTTTTTAGCTATTTTAATTAAGTTAAAGTTCCCTCTTAATAAGAAGTTCTTCCTAATAGCTATAGCTATTATATATAATATATAATAATCTCTTTTTATAGCTTGATTTAGGGCCGGTCTAATTATATCGATGAGATTATAGTTAGTTGTGTAATAGCCCTGATCGGGCTGCAGGCTATTGCGAACAGGCATCGTGATGGTGGCTATGATTGATGTCAGCAAGTGTGACCAACAGTCAGGTCGGGTAACGTACTTGTGAATTTGCTGGTTAATCTTCTACTGGGTTAGGCTCTGACTGACCTTTGAGTGGAAGTGCGATAGATAAATCAGGCGTGGTATTCCTTAAGGTGGGTTGAAGGAAGAAGGTTAATCTAGCTGCTAAAAACTAGTATTTCTACTGCTTGGTTAAGGCAGCAATTGCGTTATTAAGGCAGATAAACCTTATCTAATATTAACTTCTATTATAATAACTTGCTATAAAGGTCTCTTTATTTATATTACTAATAAAAAAGCTAAAAAGCTAGATAGCCTCTTATAAGGTTAAAAGTAAGAGAAAATAAATAAATAAATTATATTATTTCTTTTTTTAAGTTTATAAGTTAGCCTTAAAAGGTATATCTAAGTATTTCTAGAATTTAATATAATTTAAATATTTATTACCTTTATAACTAGTAAAGCTTTATTAAGTTAAATTATTATAATTAATTACTTTAATTATAGCCTAAACGTAGCTATATATATATTAGCTAAAAAGCCTCACTTATTAGCTTACTTTAACCTTTTTTCTATAACCTATTTAAAAAGTCTTTTATTAACCTCTATTATTATATTTTAATTATCTATTATATAATAAGTTGTCTAACCTAACTTCTAGCTATAAGTACTATTAATCTTATAGCTATATTATTATAATACTTTAAAAAAGCCTATAGGTATTTAAGGCTAATAAGCCTTATTTAACTAAAGGCTATAATATAATCCTTAAAATTAAAAAAGTATTTAAATAAAATAAGAAAGGCAAGGGTAATATACTTTATAAAATAATTATAAATATTAAAAGGGCTATATTAAATAAAAATAATACTAGCTCTATTAGGCTAATAATCTTTAATTATAAGATTTTCTTATTTATATATTTTCTTTATATAATAAACCTTTTAATTAATAAAGCCTTTTTTAATTTTAAAAAGTAAAAACTTATAGATTTAGAAGGAAAGTTATATAAAGGGGTATAGTTAAGTAAGAGGGAGAGGAAGTTCCTTAAAGCCCTTAGCTTAAGTAGCTTATATAATAAGTAACTTAAAGATATTTAATAATAGGCTAACAAGGTCTTAAATAAGATTAAGGACTTATAATATAATATAAATAAAAGTAAGGTAATTATAAGGTTTAAGAAAATAAAAGAAATATATTAAGTTTTATATAAGTTTAATTACTTAAAGTTAAAGACTTAAAGTTATAAATTTAATATTAGTAATAAAAAAAGAATTAAAAAAGTTATAAGATAAATTATATAACTAAATAAGTAAATTAGCTATAATATTAATATATTATTAATATAAATAAGAGATATATTTATAATATAATATAATTATTAATATTCTTATAAATTATATTTTTAATTAATTAATAAACTTTTTCTTTAAGATAAAATAAAAAAAGACTTTATTTTAAGTTAATAATTATATAATTAGGTATTTAAAAAACTGTATTAAAATTAATTTATATTTAAATATATTAAAATTCTTTTATATTTTTTACTTATATATTTCTAATTTACCTAATATTTATATTTCCCTTTATTAAAATACCTAATAGTAAGTATAAACCCTAACCCTATTAATATCTTTTATAAAGCTTTAAAATCTTATAAGTCTTATTATAATTACCTAGCTTAATACTATAATAGGCCTAACCTTAACTAAGACTAGGGTTATTTTAGTAGCTTTTATAATTAAAAAGATCCTTATAGGCCTAGCTAAATTAGTCTAAAATACCTCTAGAAGGTCTTTTTAAACCCCTTATAAGTTAATCCCCTCCCTCTTCTTAGCTTTTAACCTATATCTCTCTTTCTTAGCTTTTTTAGCTATATTTCTTCTTACTAGCTCTTCAAGCTATACCTTTCCTTATTAGCCTCTTAGGCTGTTCTCCTTCTTGAAGCTTTTTTTTTTATTATCTCTCTCTTATATTTACCTTTTCCTTTCTGTACCTTTATTTCTTACCTTTTTCCTTTTACTTTCTTTTATTTCTTTATCTCTCCCTCTCTTTTTTATAGCTATATCTTAGCTAAAAGAAAATACTGAGGCAAAACTAGCTTAGGCAGTTAATATTAACCCTATCCTAACCCTAACCTTCGGCAGAAAGATAATCCGAGTTATTAGAGAGCGCTATGATATTTGGCTCGATTGCAGAGAGCTCAGCTTGTAATTCGGCCTTGCGCTCCTGGAGATGTCTGATTATCTTGTCTGCGTGGGCCAAAGTTTGAGAAAATGATGCAGCATTGCCCTTATCGGCATCAATGACGGCTGTTTCTCTGGCGGTGGCGGCGGTGATGGATTCCTGTACCGCCGCCCATTTTTCCTCTCGCCGTATAACATAATTGAGGTTTTCTATGCGTTTTTCAAGATCATGATATGCTTCATTGAGTCGGGGGGTAGTGCTCTCTCGTTCTCTTTTGTTATTTGTATGCCGCTTACTGATATTGTTTATATCGGCCGCTTGCGATTCGTCATAGATATCAAGGCGTTGAATCTCCTCTGTCAGATGGTGTTTAAAAGCATCTTATGGAATTATTAGTGTTTGCAAAACCCGAGCTAAGAGTATCACTGACCCAGATCTCTGAACCTCCTGTTAAAGTACCGGAAGCTGGACCTTATAGGAACGTCTCCTGTCTTCATAGTGCTTCTTTTTTCATCATCAAGGGCTACTTCTATTATTACCTATTTAGACCATTAATTAAATTCATAGCTTAGATAGCAAGGACACAGCCTCTTCAATGTTCCAATTAAGTAGCAAGAGCAAAAGCACTGCCAAGACATATAAAAGAGGGCCATTAGTCCAGGGTATGCTGATATAAATATCGCCTTTGGCTCAAACATAAGATATGATATAATAGCTAATGCCAATTATACTTATAAGTAAACCTATAAGAATGAGAGGTATTTGTGCTTCGTGCTTAGTTAGACGGGTTATAAATGCTTTCGGGGAATGTTAAATTTCCGTATCGTCTCATGACATAGCTCTATAGCTAAGAGGGTTTGGATCGTGTACTATAAACTGTAGTAAGACTTGGTTCTCAATCACTGTAATAAAGCCCACTCTTTGCCCGCGTAAAATAATACTTTCAATTTAAGTTAAGTAACTATGTTCTCGCTCTTTTATATAGTATTTGCAAAGCTCTGAAGACATGGCACCTATTTCCTGTGGTAAGTGAAATTTAGTTAAGACTTTACCTCCTTTAAATCTGACTTTTGGCTGTCTTCTACCAATAGCCCTCAAATCAATATCTATTGCCAGTGGTCCTGCCTACATCCGTGAGACTAGGAAGAATGTCGCTTCGATTCCCTTCGACTGCATTTCCCCAGTCTTTACAGCGTCAGATGATGCTGTGTATTCTGCTGTTGTCTCTCTTACGGCGCCCTGCACGATGACTGTACAAGTTGTACCTTCAGGGTGATCATCTCTAGCTACGTTGGAAAATCAGTTGCCCTACTTCTCACTCCTACTCTTGCCGCGACTGCTCCTGCACTCGGTGCCGTAGCTTTCAATGCAGACCCTCAGCAGGTCACCCAGCCGAATGAACAACATGTAGCTTCTAGTCAGATGGTCATGAATTTCCCATAACCGTTCGAGGTCTGAGCACTGAGGTGCCATGGGGTATCTCCGACCATGTCTCGTTCCAACTACTCTGGGTTAATTTACAGACATTTCTCACCGCCTCTGGTAATTCTCTTCTCAAGCTATATGCTCTGGCAGATAACCTACCCAACTACGCAAAGGTGGGGGGCCGGTTGAGGAGTATTGGTCACGAAATGGAGGCACACAGCAATCTCCTATAGATCACATCTCATCAATGCAATCTTCCTCAGATGTGATGTTTATGGCCATATCCTCGCCTACGGGTGGTACATATCTCTGGGAGGAAGATCACAGCTTCCAAAGCCCTGTACTCGATTATCTTTTCTCCCGATAGTCGTTCGGTTGCTTTTTATAGCCAATTCGAGATGACCAAGAAGCAAAAGCCTAAGACTATGTTGGTGCAAATGGCAACAGGAAAGAATAAGTTAGCCTACTCAGATGATCCGATTACATCGTTTCGTTTCACCCTAAAAGCTATTTCCATGCAGCAGGAGATAACCGCGGCTATATCATGGTCCGTGAAACCCATATTCTTACTGAAACGCTCACCCTACATATTAAAACATCACGGATCTCGATACATGTTTTTACTACTATTCAGGCTTTTACATCTCACCTCAAGGAAGGCTTGTCGTCTTATCACGCTTATCCAACTTTTCGTCACTTAGAGTTTAAATCTGAGATAAAGAAAAGCAGATAAGAGATTACTAAATAATACCTCCCACTCCTATTATATTAAGGAAATACATAATAAAAAGCCCAAAACTTAATTCCGCCATGCTATGCCTCTTAAATAGACTTCTAGGGCTTAAATAAGTTATAAAGAAGCTTATAGTCGCCCAATTATGTCCTGATTGCTACTCTTTCTAGACCGTATTAAACCGTTCCTGACTCCCAGAGAAAAAGATAGCTATTAATTATCTTGGCTTAGATGGGTAAGAATGTGGATGTAGTCTTTCTCTCCTATTATTAATGCCGCACCAGCCTGGGCGAATCGGGCATTGACCGATGCGTGATAGGATATTCCTATTCGGCATTAAAGTAGTTGGCTGAACTATCCCAAAATGTCGAGATCGGAGGAGTCTATAAACCCTATCAGATACATGGGTCTCGAGTTACCCTGCAGGGCGTTAAGTGGCATAACTTACATGAGGGTTAGACCGGTCATAGATGCTTGGAGCGTTGAAGTCTATGGGCGATATATAGCCATAAGTCGTATAAGGGGTCACCTTACTGTCGCTGGTGTAGGACTCCTGATCAGCAGTATTGCTATATAGCATTCTAGGGGAAGGTATTATAGGCATGACGGAAGTATTTAGGTAATTAGGGTGGGCGTCAGTAATAGTCATAGCTGGATAGGTATTAGGGGAATTGTAGGTAGTGATAAACTTGTTATTAGGAGCCGGATTAGTTAAGTATGTGAACTGGGAAAAGCTGTGGCAGCGAGACTGGTCGTCGTGGCTGGAAGTGAAAAAGAGATCGTCAGTCGGCTCCCCGGGAGGATTGAACTGGCTCTGAGAGATGACTGGTTTGGCGGAGGTAGCGGGCTGCGGCTTCAGGGACTTGAAGGATTGCTTCGACTTGGTGGTCTCCTGGGCCTGCTTATCGGGTCCGGCAGGGTCAGAAGAGCTAGAACGGCGCTCATGGTCCTCGAGGCGTTGCTTGAGTTTCTTGCCTATAAGCAGGCATTTATGTCAGTTATGGTTGGGAATTAGCTTTGGAATCTTCGGAAGCTAAGTCCGGTGGAAGTTAGCCTCTCGGAGGTAGCGGAAAGAACGTACGGTAGTTACGCTGAGCAATGCGGTTCTGTATCCGTCGGCGCTCAGCAATGTCAGAGATCTTGGTCCAGTCCTCATCAGGGTCAGCAGATACACTCCTGGTACCCGAGGAGCGTCTGCGAGGAGGAGCTTCCAGGGAGTCGGGTAGTGACATGAACATGGACATTGTAAAAGTGGTTGAAGTTGGTTGAGTAGAGGGTTTGAGTCGGTGTGTCGTCATGGCCTAGCAATGAGCGGGCGAGATGGGCGAGAATACACGGCCTTATATGCCGACGGACATGGGGAGGGCTTAGGTGAAGGAGTAACAAATAGCGCCGGCCGAAGCGCACCTTTGATACAGCGCGATATCGTTACGACACTCGATAGTCTGCTTATATGCTGGGGTGTAAGGGCTGCGGTAAGAGACGAAGGAGATGGACGTGACAAAGACGGGACAGAGGCTCCAATCTGTAGACATGGTCTGAGCTCCCCACAAAGCAGTCTACCGTTTCATTGCGGGCGGCACGAGTCACGAGGAGGCGCTTGATCTCGGGGAATGCTTATCTCTAAACGATAAGAGAAGGAAAAGCCCAGCAAGAGAAAGAGACAAGAGGCGTATCGGACTCATATGACAGAAGAGCTGCCTAGTGCGGCTCAACATCGGACGATATATGCCTGAGGTGTATTGGAGGGGCGTATGGTATGGAGAAGTGGGGATGAAGTTCTTTCCGTCGGGCAACTAGACCTATTGTAAATCAATACTGTGGGAGTCGAAGGCGTTATTAAATGGCCTAAGGTACATGTGTTTGAGAGGGGCATAGTTCCCTAGATAGTATACATATTGCAGCCACCAGCAGATCAGACCGTCTTTGTCATACGGTCCCAACAGCTTGCAACGGGTAAATTCCCCGAACCCCTCCTCAAGCTGACGCCTACACCTTTAACTTTTGGCGTATCGTGCGGCGTGAGTCAGTATCACATAGGTGAAGCATGTGCTTGAAACCTTAGCATTCGAGACCGAAAGCATGTGAGGCTGGCGGTGGTAAGATGAATGCCGCCATGGTGGATGGTTGCGAAGTGGTGATCTCCTGCGTGCTCAGCAATAGGCGCTAAGCAATGAGTGAGCTGTGGCACAGGTAAACAGGGCGCGATAGGGAGGGTGGGTAAGCCCATTCACGGTACCAGACACCCTTTCTGTGCTCTGATAGAATGTAGAGTTGGGTAGGTTAATGCCCGGTGCCTTATAGCTTTTAATTGTTATATTCCAGAACTAGCACCGACCTCATAAAGTCTCGGCGCGCACGTAGAGACAAGAGGAGGCAGAAGCCATAAGGTTTGCCTATACCCATGGATGTTCTTTCGTTCTCCTATTATATCGCAGCTACGCGATGGAAAGTCTGGAATAAAAAGCTCCATGCATCCGCTCGCTAATCAGCGAGACAAGGAATGCTTTTAATCCGGATAGAGTTCGGCCCACATAGCTGGATCACTTTGTTTTATTAGCTCGCCCGGATTCTTTAGTCCCCGACATACTGATATTAGACAGCACGTATAAGACGATTAAGCATGGAATGCCGCTCCTCGGTATAATCTGAATTAATGTTTGCTTACAACCTTTTTGCATAGCCTTTGAATTCCTCCGTCGCGAGACGGAGAATGATATACTTGGGCAATAGACCCGCTGAAGATGTTACACGAACAAAATAGCGCGGCGAATTATTGTGTGGCCTGTAGGAATACTGGTGTGAATACTTTGTCTATAATATGCAAATAAAGTGGGGCTAGGTTAATACCGCGCCGCCTTCTCTCGTAAGCCATAACTTAATTACTAGTCTAGGGCTTATTTAAGCTAAATAAGTAGTTAAGGGCAAGTAAAGATTATATGGCGGTGTTAGGGTTGTGTATGGGCTATTTACTTAGTTTAAACTTTATATAAGATAAGTATACTAACTAATAGCTAACCCTAATTCCCTAGTAATTATAATATTAAGGTAAAGGTTAATATTTAACTTAAGTCTACCTAGGGGTTAGGGCTAAAAGGTTTATCTTATAATATAAAATAAATTACTAAAAAAGTATAATAGGTGCATTTTTAAATAAGTAAACTAGTCTGAACTAGGTTTATATTTACAGATATATAGGGTGTTATACTAAGCAGTTATTAGGCATTATATCTCTTAACAATTAAGTAATGCTGGTAAGGATTATTGATATAAAGAGGTCTTACTAATAGCTGGTGAGCTGAGTTCTGTCTATTACTAAATGAATATATAAATATTGAAGGGATCCTCGGGGGATTACTTGGTATTGGGATTACGGTGATCCTGGATTGCAGTGGCTCCTGGAACGTAGTAATCCTGTACAAGCGTAATCCTGCTGTGATTAGCTGAGAAGGTCCGCTTGTGAATTCATCATGAGTTCACGTCTCAGTGGTTGAGTTCCTCTTTTATATAGGGCTTCCTGCACGACTGCTTATAGGGTACACGTGATGTAACTGCTAGGGTTATAATAAAGAGGAAAGGAACAATAATAAATAAATAAATAAATAAATAAATAAATAAAAAGTTTTTAATATTAAGTAAAATAATTTAAGTATATAAATTATATATAATACTTATTTATTTATTTTATTTAATAGTTATTAAACTTAAAAATTTAAATATTAAAGCTTATTATTATAATAAGTATAAGTTAATTAAAGAATATAATAATTACAATTTTTTAAAAAATAAACTAATTTATATTATATTTATATTAATTCCTAAGTATATATTACTACTTTTTTACTAATCTTACTTTATTTATTTATATATATAAGGTTAATGAGTTATATGCCTTACTATATATATTTAATTAATTATATTATAACTTTAGGTCGATTTGACTTTCGCCAACTAACTTATATAAAGTAACAGACTTAACACAATTGCTTTAAATTTCTAAACACTGCCTTTACCCTGCGTTTATCTAACTCTATATATAAACTCTCCATATTAATTCAAGAGTAGCTCTCTAGTAATATTAGCTGCCCTTGAAGATATATTAAGGAGCTACTTTTTATATATAGCTAAGTTACTTATAAAGGTAGTAAGGAAAGCTGCCTTATTTAATTAAAGAAGATAACCTTCCCTTAAGGCTATTTCTAGATCTTTAAGACCTAATAGCTTATTATTAACCTAATTTAAAATAATTAAATTAATATAATATCTCTCTTTTATATAATTAATTAACTAGATTAAGCTATAATTAAAAATAGCTATTTTAATAAGGTTAAATCTGCCTTTTAATAAGAAGTTCTTTATAATAATAACTATTATATATATTATATAAAGTTATTTTTTATTAATTACCTTTAAGGCAGGCCGAATAGCTAGATTAAAATTATAATTAGTTATATAATAAGTATAATTATATAGCTATAGGCTATTATATATAGGTATTAAGGTAATATAGCTATTATATTATTAATAAAAAGGATTAGATAGTATTTAAGTTAGATAATATATTTAAGTATAATAAATAAATTAAATATAGTATTTCTTTAAATAGCTTAAAGAAAGAAGGTTAATTTAGCTATTAAAAGGTAAACCTATAGCTAGTATTTATATTACTTAATTAAGGCAGTAAGTATATTATTAAGGTAGATAAACCTTATTTAATTCTAACTTCTATAATAATAGCCTGCTATAAGGGTTTTATTATTTAAACTATTAACAGAAAACTTAAAAAGCTTAATAACCTTATATAAGGCTAAAGGTAAGGAAAAAAAAAACCTTCTTTTATTTATAGATAATAAGAAGGAAACAAAGTACTTATTTTACCTTTATAATTATATTAATAAGCTACTTCTTATAATAGGCTAAGTTTAGGCTTATAAAGACAATAAGGAAAACTACCTCTTTTACTATTATAGGCTAGTTATATCTTAATGCTTTTTTTTAGCTTTTCTAATTTAAATAACTTTTAATTTATTTAAGCTAGAGATATTTTACCTCTTAGGTAGCTTAGATTTATATAACTAATTAATTAACTTAGCTTATAATTAAAAATAGCTATTTTAATTAAGTTAGATTTCTTATTTAATAAGAAGTTCTTTTTAATAACTATAAGTATTATATATATTATATAGTAATTTCTACTTATAACTTACTTTAAAGCTAATTTAATTATATTAATAAGATTATAATTAGTTATATAATAATCTTAATTAGGCTATAAGCTATTATAAATAATAAGTATTATAATAGTAATTATAATTAATATTAATAAGTATAATTAATAGAAATAAAAAGTTAACTTAGGTAATATACTTTAGAAGTATAATAAATAAATTAGGTATAATATATTATAAAGGTTAATTAAGGAGTATGTCTTTAAGTAGGCTAAAGAAAGAAGGTTAATTTAGCTATTAAGACCTAGTATTTTTATTACTTAATTAAGGTAGTAATTAAATTATTAAGGCAGATAAACTGTATTTAATATTAACTTTTATTATAATAGCCTATTATAAAGGTCTTTTTATTTAAGTTATTAATAAAAAGGCTAAAAAGCTAAGTAGCCTTTTATAAGGTTAAAAAAAAAAAAAAATTATTAAATATAATATACCTTTTAATAAAAGCCTAAGTAATAATAATTAATAAACTTATATTAGCTTATTAATACCTTTTTACTTTTATAATTAAATAATATATTACTTAAGGTTATTAATATATATAATAATTAGGTTTTCTAAATAAGTAAACTAATTTATATTAGGTTTATGTTTACAGATTATATAAGGCATAATACTAAGCATTATAAAGTATTATATCTCTTAATAATTAAGTAATATATATTAGGCTTATTAATATAAAAATACTTTATTAATAGCTAATAAGCTAAGTTTTATAAAAGTGTTAATAAATATGTTTTATATATTAAAGGTAGCCTAATAGCTTAGTAAGGAATAATAGTAATCTAAAGGTTAGATCTCTAAGGATTATTAGTAATCTATAGTAATTTAGTCTTAAAGCATTATAATTTAAGTAATTTAATAGAAGAGGATTCTTACTAAGAGAAGTAATCCTTTTATAATAAGTAGAACTTATAAGGCCTATATAATATAGCTATATAAGTTATAATATAATCTCTCCCTTTTATTAGGTCTTGCCCTTAAGACTTATATATCTCTATATTTTTATATTAGGC